CAAGGCCTTGGAAAAAATTAAATTCTCTCTCTACGTCCTAGGGAGAATTTGGCACAAGCTCACCCTTTTGCCCATGTTGCTTTCTCCAAGAAGCGGCTTTTAATATATTATCCTCTCAACGATGCCATAAAGAAGGCTAGGCTGAGAGAAAACCCCTTCCTCAAGGCCAGCCCAGTGAGCTTCTTACCACAGCGCCACTGACCCACTGCTTGACATAATCCACACAGTCCTTTCATCAGAGGAAAAAGATCTGAAACAGAGCCTTCGCTCCTTCACTAAGGAATATCTTGCTTCCAGGTCTCCAGGCATCACCTACTCCTTTCCGCATCCTGTCTTTGCAATCTTGAGGACTAGTGTATGAGCAGCTGCAGAAGAGCATGCCTTAGAAACGGTCCTCCCATCAGCGAATGTGGCTCACACGAGGTGAGCCCCTCGGCTTCAAAGACCCTGAAGCTCTGCTGATCTCTAGAGGTGCTTCTCATGACTTGCTTCCTGATGTCCTTTAAAGAGGAGAAGCTTGGAACCCACCCACTTGTATGCAGGACAGGGGCTCTGCCTCTGAGTCTACTCCCCCCTCTCCCCACCCCTCTTCAGGCCACTCACAATTCTATGAAGAGCATGATCTCTCGGGGCGTCTCGATGGCATCATAGAGCTGGATCAAGTTCCGGTGGTTGAGCTGGTTCATCACATCAATTTCCACTTCTGCCATTTCCTGCAGGAGAAAGGCTACATGATGTGGAATGAAGTGGGGCTGGCAGGAGACAAGTTGCCCTGGCAGGTCACCCCCACCCCAGCGGCCATGACATCTCCCACTTGGCTCCTGCCCTCTTCCCAAGGCATTCAGAAGAACCCTCTGAGAGGGGTCACAGAGAGATAGAAGAGGATCCTGCGCTCAGGGGAAAGCCCCTCCTGTTCCACCAGTGCCCTATGCTCAGGGGAAGGTGGAAAATGCTCCCTTCTCCCTCCGGCCACCTTACCCAGAGCCCAGCGGTGCTTTACCACCACATCTACAAGCTCTCAGAGCAGCCCTCCTCATCCTCGTGAGCAAGGATGGGCAGCAGCAAGATTAAAAACCAACTCAGTAGTTCTCCGGAGGGAAGAGTTTCCATTCTTCAGGCAAGGGGAATGCATTTTTCCTTCTGCCAGAGCAAGAAAATGCATGCTGTCCCTTTTTGCCGACTTCTGATAGACTTTAGTCTAACCTTCAAATTTGATTTTTTAAAATGTAGAATAGTAGACAGTGTATGCTCATTAGGATAAACAATCCTCAGCCAGCTTTGGGGATTCTGCATTTTTGAACTGCAGCTTAGAGGTCTCTTGGGGGTTAAAATCTTTCCTGCAGGGCCCTTCCCAACCTCAAGCATTTTAGCTGGGTTGGATGTCAGGTACCATAATCCCCAACCAGGTCTGTTTGCCTTTATTGCAAGCAGCAAAACCAGTCCCTCACTAAGAAACCCAAATTGCAGCTTGCGGCCTGAACTAAACCCAGAACATTTATTTATGTATTTGTTAGATTTATATCACGGCTTTCCTCCAAAACCTCAAGGCAGGGATCTCCCTTCATTTTCCCCACACAACAGCCCTGCAAGGTAGGTTGGGCAAAGAGAGAGGCGCACCCACAGTCACCCAGGAAGTTCTGCATGACGGAGGGTGGGTGTGAACCCGGGTCTCCCCAAAAGGCCTACCCTGTCTTTTGGCCCCTGCTTCTTAATGATCTTCACAGCAAGCTTGAGGTCCGTCTCCTTCACCGTGCACGTACGGACTTCTCCAAACTTCCCCCTGGGGTGAGAGAGGAGGAGGGAAACCTTGGCCTACGGGGGCATTTCCTCTAAAGTTCTTCTCAAAACCCCCCTGGGGGCCCTCTGCAAACTCGTGTCCTTGAACCTTCCTGCTCATTGCTTTTGGTCCCCGGGATCCGGCGCTAAACTGGAGAGTCTCCGAGTTAGGTGGGGGGAGAGAGCTGGCCGGATTCACACAACCTCCTTAACTTGGGTCAATGGGAGTCCCGTCAGCTGCATTTTCTTCAGCACAGGCTGAAGATTAGTTTTGTCCTGGGGCTTAATGCGTTCTGCAGACCCCACCCCCGGGACTAGGGTAAGGCCAGTTCCAGAAAATGAATTAATCCAATAAGTGGGTTAAATGAAGCTTTATTTCCACCAAAAACGTCTACCGGACAGGCAGGGCATGTAAAAAAGTCAAGATGGCGGCTGCGACCGGGCAGTGGAAGCCCCCACCCCTTTTATGCGAT